TTCTGCCACCAAACACCCAGGCCCATTTACTGCTTCCTTCAGGAGCACTGGCTTCAGTTAATTTTTAGCATGGGGAAATGAACTCCCATCCACCTTGAGTGCTCATCCAAGGGAACCCTGTGTTTTAATTCAGCCATCAGGACTGCAGGAAGGACAGCAAACATGGCTATTAAATGTTATACCTGCACTATACACACAGGTGCCAGTTTATAGGGTAACACTTTGCCCCTGCCCCTATCAAAAAACAGGTACACACACATGTGAAAATACAGGAAACAAAAGGAAGACTGATCCATCCAAATGATGTTGATAACCTCCAAAACTCATTTTTAATTGCAAAGAAAAGATCAGTTTTAATCTAATCAGGCAAAAAAATTACCTTTCTTTTCAAGTCCATAAAGAAACCAAGTGCTTGTGTGGATAGCCAGAGGAGGACATATATATTAATATACATGATTTCTCAAAAGGGCCAAGAGTTTCTGGCCTATATAAATTCCCTACATCTCTGATCCTGCAAGGGAAACTCTGAAATTATCTAAAAAATTACATTAGCTACAATTACAGAGACAGTTTACTCACTGAGGAACAGGTGAAATAAAATGGATTTATTTTTTGGATTTTATTTAATTTAATTTAGACATGACTAATGTGAATTAAAGAATCACAAATACAGGGATGAAAAGGACCCCAGTTAGTCTGACAGATGTTTACCTAGCTTGTCCTTGGAGATTTTCAGTGATGGAGATTCTACAATACTCCTGTTTGCAAGGCAACCTCTTGTGCAAATCATTAGAAAAACATCTCCCTATTTCCTGCCTCTATTTCTACCATTTTTACTGCAGCCCATGATTGCAGAAGACAGAGCTGCACCCTCTGCACGTCAGTTTTTAACTCTGCTTCCATTCTTCCAAGAACTTCCATTTTAAGCCTAATAGCAGGGACTGTAGTTTTGAAAAATTCTTCCTTCCCACCTTGTCTTAACACTGACCTAGCGCAACCTTTGTAAAATAGGGAATCCAAAACCTACTGTTTGTGGTCAGAAATGACAACAATCAAAGTCAGAAGACAAATGAGCTACTGTAAAGAAAGAGACTTACACAACTCTACATCCCCCACAGATTTCTAAGAGTTTGCTATTTCCAGTGTGGTCTCTGTTCCTCCCTGTCATACATTGTGTAGTTTTTAGACTGCATGACAATGTTTGGAATGGTGGCTGGTTGTTACTTTGGTACGTGCCTTTACTCCCAACACCACAATTCCTTCATTTCCTTGGGAGGGACTTGTTGAAGGAGACCCACGTTGAGGTGGCAGGGAGAAGAAAAGGAGACAAGCCTTCCAAAGGCCACCTTTATCTTATCTTCCTCACCTCATCACTCGGTGCTCTACCAATTTGCCAAGAAAATTACACAAACCCAATTTTTCTGCTAGATTTAAACTAAAAAAAGAGTAGAACTCACACTGTAAGAATGATGCACTCTTATCAGTCTAGCACACAAGCACAATATCACCATTAAACAAGGCTTAGAAAATCAAATGCATAAAGTCCATTCCTTATGCTATACTGATGAGTTAATTTGATTTTAACGTAAAATGAACTAATACTTCACAGCCATATAGTTAGTGGATGAGTCACAACATTCTCATTAGCTAGAGAAGAGAAAGGGAGTTAAATTGCTCAGTAACTGGAACAACACTTGCAACCTGTCAGATATTCTTTGTGTCCATCCTCTGTTGCTCTGCTACTAAAAATCAGAAATTATAACATATAAACAAAATTGGTTCAAATACTTCTATAGAAAGAAGTTCTCTGCTTTGACCTAAAATTGGGGGGTTTTTACACTATCACAAGAATTTGCTTCACAAAGCAGAGACACTTGATCATGCAACACAGAACAACACAGAGACTTGGCTTTTGCTTTGCTACAGCTCTAAGAAAGGTGGCTCATACTGCACTTCTTTCATAAATCAGGTTTTATATGAGTGCACTGCAGTGGAAATCAATCCCAGTGAATCCCACACTGCCTCCAGGAGCTGGCCCTATACACTGGCATCTATAAAGCTAGGTATTATATGAATGATATAAATTACACTATTATATAAATTCAGGGACTGGGCTGGACAAAGAAAATGCTGGCCCAGCCTTGATGTTTGACTTGACTTGAAGTGTCTCCAAGAAAGACACAATGGATGTGTGTGTCTACAGGCTAAGAGGAGCCTTTGCTACTGTCACTCATTTTCTCTCAGTCTTCCTTAATTCCCTACTGACAGCCATAAACATAATGAGTTATTCATTCCGAGGAGAGCTTGAATAGGAGATGCTTTGCGAGACGTAATTAGCGATTGTAATTTTATTCACAGCATATTGCGCTTTCCTTAGGTGAAGCTGTAGGATGTAAGAAGTAAAAGCACATCATCAACTAATCTGATCTAGCACTCTGAGCTATGTAGGTCAAGGATGGCCTGCCTCCTAAGCCCTGCAAACTGCAGAGATCCTTTTAGGGCTGATAGCCACCTGACAAGCCCATCTCTGAGCTGCTCAGGGAGGGCTCCAGCCAGACAGGAGCAGCTCTCCCAGTGCCCACACTGGGCTGTCAGCAGGGCTGGGCTCACAACACACAGCCAGGCTGTCCTAGTAATGTCTGCCTTAATTGTCACTGCCAACCTGCTCCCTCCCCTGCCAGTTTGCAGCTTCCTCATCCTCTGCCTGGATTGGGGTTGAAGGCACTTGAGAGGATAGCTCACACTCAGACTCAGGTGTTTATTACTTCTCATCTACGTCACAGCCACACAGGCAGTGAGCTCTGCAGTTCTTCACTAACAAGGCACAAAATGGCTATCTATCTTTTGTTACAAGGCCTTTTAAAGCTAAACTATCCAGTTAAGAAATGACACCTAAATTATTTTCACTTTTAACCCAATATCTAATCACTTGAAGTCCACAATATGGAGTTTCCTGACCAATTACACAAAACCACCCAAACCCATGGAGAAGGTGAAGAAGGAGGACCAGCCTCCATCCTACAATGTCCATCTTGCTTTTTATATATTACTATATTCTAAAATCCTAAACTCTACATTTTCCACCCTGTGATGTTACACATTCTATTCAAACTCCCAGTTCTGTCATTCCATTTTGGAAGCCTTCTCCACAGCCCCAGGTCAATGCAGTGAAATCTTGGGGGTCAGGGCCTGCCAGCACAGACACCCTGAAATTCTCAGCATCCAGAACCCCAACACTCCCCCATTTGGGAGCAGAGCTCTGAGCTGTCCCTGTGCCACCCATGGCCAAACTGCTCCTGACCCCCCCTCCATCACCATAGCAAGGGCAGACCCAAAATAATTTATTTCAGACCCAATTTTCATTTCCTGCCAACATGCATGCAAAATCTAAACAGACAACAGAACCGTGGTGTCAAAACTTACCATATTTTCATTTCAGGCTCGGAAGACAATTCTTCATGGAGGTAAAATCTGTGCAGTTTGACAGACTGACACAGTTCTGGAGACATTTTTTTAGAAACATCATAATAATGGCCAAACTTTGTATATGTTGTTGGGCTGGTCTGTGGAAACAACAGTACTGATTACAATCTTAAACTATTATCTGTCAAAGGAAAGTAATGAGCTAACAATGCACTTCAAATCTCTGGTTTTTTTTCCCATTCAGCCTAAATAAAAGCTTAAAGTAGAAAAACATTATAATAATTACTACTAAGTTTTCATTCCCCCATTGTCATACTTGAATGTAAATCTTTCACTCAGAGTTCAGCCTCTACTATTCCAAGTTGCAGCACCAAAGTGAAGCCAGATAATTAAAAGAATGCAGTTTTTGCACATGTTCTAGACAGATGATCACAAATGTGCAGAGGCCAGATCTATGAAATCAGCAGAACATTGTGTGTTCAGTCTCTTTGATTTTTCAGTCTCTGACAATTATATGGGTGCTGCAGAAATATTTTCAGCTGACTTGGAAAATTTTTCTCTTTATTTATGATCAGTTAAAAAACCCCGACCATTGCATCTTCATATAAGTGATTTTAATAGAAAAATAAGAAACAGTTTAAAATTATTTTCAGTTTCTTGAAAATCAAATAAACAGGCTGAGCATTACATGCAATAACTATGATTTGCCGTAATGAAGATACATTTTCTTCAGATCTTAATTTTTTACATGCAACACCATAAACCAAATCTAATGCATACCTGTGCAGGAATTACAAATTTTGAACATGGTGTGCTATTAAATAGAGGAAATAAATGCATCTGTTTGTCCATATTAATGGAATTCTGAACATTCAGAACATTTCAGAACTTGCAACATTTGAATTATACATGTAAATTTAACACTCCTAGAGACCCCTCCTCCAGACTGTTATATCATGAAATATTCAAGTAGATAGTATTTCACCAAAAAAAGTATTGAACTGTTAAGATTAATTAGACGGATCTGATTTAGGTAAAATATTTTGAAATTATTTGACTAACAGGTTTTAGGCCTGGTCAGTTATCAGAGAATATCAACAGTAACAATAATGCAATACTTCTCCCAGAATAACCAATGAAATCCAAACTTTTAGTTAAAAGAAATAATTAGTTTAAAAAAATTAAAAAACCCATGGAATTGCTTATGAATATCTAGTCATTTGAGGCAACTAGTTTTACTAAAAAAATTATATAGAAAAGCACATTCTCTAAATCAGTGTACCAATTTATTTCTTGGTATCTAATTTTTAAAGCAGGCCATTCAATAAGACACAACATTCCATCAAAATTTAAATGTTTTTCTTGTAAAATGTAACTTTATTCAAAACAAGGACTCTGAAAGCAATTTAAACAGGGGCTGTTCTTTGGCCTATAATCTATTCTTTATCCGGATTACAGATCAGAATGTTTTTACTGCAATCTCTGCCAGAGCTCATCTTTTTATTGTGTACTTCCAAGCCCCCTTAATGTTTTAGAAAGGCCTTGACTAACTGAACTTTGATCTGATGTCTTCATTGAGAAAAGCTCCAGGTCGCCCATTTCAGATGCAAATCCTTCCTGAGGCCCAATAGAGTTTAGTAAAGACAGCAAAAAAGAAGAAACAAGAAGTTTCCAGGATCCTCTTTGAGAATCCTGAGGCACATTGGTGTCCTTAATCCACCCCGCCGCAGGGATTAAGGTAGGTGATAACCTCTCCTGCTTCCAAAGAATGAGCACAGCGCCCACAAACTGGGTGGAGTCTGGGATTTGGCGCTAATAAAACCCCATAAAAGCAATAAAAGCTGGGTCCATGGCAGAGGGCCCTGAATAGGGCTCAGTGTCCTGCATTCCCAGGCCTAGCAGGGAGCTGCTGGGAAGCCTACCTGACCCAAGGAAGCGTGAATAATGGAGCGGGGCAGAGCGGCCGCGCGCGGCCCACACTCGCCAGCCCTCTCTGACACTGATACCTCGGGCCTTACGTTTTTCTCCTCTTGGTTTGGTTTCAGCTTAGTATAAAGTTAGTTTATAATTTATATTAAGTGTTATTGGGATCTTTTCATAGGATGGTAAGGAAAACAAAATCCTATTCCAGCTGGAGACTCAAGGACAATCTCTTCAAAATTTAGGCCCAAAGCTTAAACAACGTGAGAAGAGGAGGGTGGGCAAGCAAGCAAGGAGGATGAAACTTCATCATTTGAAGCCATTAATTGCACAATTAACTCCAATATGCAAATGGATTAAAACATATAAAAATGTGAGATCTCATGACCAAGCCCTCTTTTGCTTCCATCTTGGAGGCATCTGGGCACTGCCAGGGCAGAGTCGTTGAAGGCACTTCCATAAATATCCACTTTATTCCTCTGAACTCCTTCTAGCCTCTGTTCCAGCTCCTCAAGAAGGCACCACTGCATTCCTTAGCAGGCCAGCTCTTTCCTGGATTCCTGGTTTGCACAAGGAGAAATGCTCTAAATTGTCAGCGAGCAGAGCGCGCTTTTACGCTACCGTCTGCTGTTAATGTTTCTAATTGCAACCCTAATGTGCTAGAAATCTCAGATTTAGGATGAACCAAGGCAGAAAATTGATTTCATGCTGTGACAGTTTATATATTGCCCCAAGAACATAAGCAGTTCATTGAAAAAAAAAAAAAGAGGAAAAAACCACACTGTCTTGCATTGCAAAAGAGACTCTCCATATACACAAAAGTTGAAATTAATTCACTTCTGATACAGATATAACTAACAAACTGGCAAAAGCACATCAAGCATAACAAGGTCTTTCACTCCAACAGTTTTCTTAGAAATCTGTTTTTTTTCTGATGCAAGGTATGTGCAATATGTAGAGAGAAACTGGGACAGCTGTGAAGAGCACTAATACAAATATCATTCCTAAGAACAAAAACCAGGTACCTGGCTGGTCTACACAGGGTCAAATAAATGCAAAGGGAACATCCGAACTACCAATCAAAAATCTATTATTACTCAGAAACAGTAAACAAATCAATCATCAAAAATACCACAAAGATATCTTTCACTCAGCATTCCTGCTCTGTATTTAGCCAGATAACGGGTAGAAAAGTTCCTGCTATCATGTTTAGAGTTCTAGCTAAAAGGAAAGCTAATTTTTCTCTTTCACAGTTGAAACTATTTGACAGTAGTTTCTGAAAATGCACTGGCATATTAGTTCAATCAATTTGGAAAATACGCCTTGAAATTTTATTCAACATTGGTTTTTACCAGCAAAGGAACATTTAAAGGAGCAATCACAACCAAAGTTGTTCATTAAATTATAGAACTGAATGCATTGTTATGGGTAGGCAAGGCAGTATCAGATTTTTCCTCAATGGAGTATAATCACCAATCCAATTAACATAGAACAGAGCAAAAATTTTATGATAACTGCAATACAAAATATTGAAAAATATAAATTTAAACTATTTTTACACCAACTAAAATGTCCTGAGGAATTTTAAGTATAGACTGTTTAAGATTGATACTTTTATTTGTGTGCTTTAATTTTTGCATAAATTTAACATACACATAAAGATATTGTGCCTCAACTATTGAGAATGATCAAGGTCCAATTCAAAAAGCAGCAACAACAAGGGAAACTCCCCCAGAAAAACTGTCAATCTTATTCTATCATGCATAATCAATTTTCAGTAATCAAGGGTACACACATCACGCATTTCCAAGAAATATTACATTAGTGGAAGAACTGGTTACTGCTGTGAACTCAAAGATGAGTGGACACTCAACTGAATTTTTAAAATAATTTTTCTATGTTTTTAGAACATCAGAACACAATTTGTTAACAACATGCAAATGTTTTCATATCAATGTACAAGGAACTCTGCTAGATTTTAAACCAGACAAATTATTTTGGGGACGGTTCATAGTGGCACAGCAAGCTTCACAATAATAAAATTGATGAGATTATATGATTACCCTGGAGGCTGTTTGATTTGGCATGTCACCATATATAAGTCTTTTCTGACACAACTGTATAGCCATGTCTGTGCAATTTCACAGAAAACCAAACATGCCAAGCCTTGTAAGATCATTTTGTCACATTCCAATTATGTTTTTAAGAACACAACTGAACTTACTAGGCAGGTATGACTACATCTAAACCAGAATTTATAAATGTAGACTAAGATGTACAGACAAAACCAGGATTTGATTCTGGACAGCCAGAAATGCTGTAACTTTGTTAAAGACTGATTGTGCCGCTGGATTAAATAAGAAAGGCACCAGCCATGGGAGATTGATTATCCACAAAACAAAACACCAACAACTGTAAACTCTGAAAGACTGACCACTGAGCTTGTTCCTTACATTGTCCCTGCCCCGTGCTCAGCTCCCAGTGGCAGTGAGGCTGAGAGAATCTCAAGTGCTTGCTTTAGTTGTTATGCACATGGATAAGCAGGTCAACAGCTTGCTTCCACTGCAGACACCCACTAAGTCCTGTTGATTAAACCTACTTAAGTAATTTGTGTGCAACTAAATTTGGGCCAAGGTTGGAAGCAAGCTCATCACCCAAACTTTCATTAAAAGCTGCCTCGATTTGATAATGCTCATTGAAAAATCCCATGGTTTTTTACTTTTAAATTACTATTGTCTGTATGGATTTTTAGAGTACCTGCAAACTCTCAAATTCCCTTTCTTTTTGCATCATTAGTAATTAAAATATTCACTGGTGTATGATAGTGTTTCCTCAAGAGGCAATCCTATAACACTGCCCATTAGCAGCTCTGTTGTCTAGGTTCTACTGAAAAGCATTTGCTTTTCAAATTCATTTTGAGTGCAAAAGGAAAGAAGCAAGAAATAGACATTACCTCCATTTTTGGTAAATTTTGGTAGCGCCAGGCTATTTTCATAGAATCCTGAACATCCTCAGATTTCACAGCTGCTGCTTCATCTCCCAATTCCTTCCTGTAGGAACCATCAAGCAAAGGGGCTGGAAGTTCCTACAGGTAGAGAACAAAAAAAAATGTCAGCTATCTGCAGGAGAAACAGCAGTTCAGGTTTTTATCCACACCCCCCTCCAGCCAGATAACACAGTTATCTGACTATAATGGGCAGCTGCAAAATCTGTAAAAGATTAATAGATTAAAAGAACTCTTTTGAAGGACTGGCTCCTACTAATACTGAGCAGGAAAGAACTCCATATAATTATTACTGGAAAAATGAATTATAGAAGTAAAAGAAAGAAAGCAGAACGGAAATATTTGATACATTTGATACTCTGCTTCATCTTGAGTATTCCCATTATCATCTATATTCCTTTTTTTTTAATATTTCTTTAGAGGCTGATCTCCTCAACTACTCCATTTCTGACAGTGGGCAAGTTCCCTGCATATTTAAACCCATTTAAACCTTTTCCAATAGCAAATTTAAGCCTATTTTAACATAAGAACTTTGTTAGCTGCTGTAAATCTTCCAGAAGTCTCCAACAGATCACAACAGCCTACAGACAGCAGCTGAAAGCCACTGCAACAGGATGGTTTGGATTTTCTCTTCTGCTAACCATTAGGCATGATGTCTACTCATGATGGATATCTCATGGACACAAACACAGGAAAGGAAGGGGGGAGTGCTCAATTCTGGATTTTTAAAAGTTTCTAATGTGCTTTCTGCTTTTGCTACACTGCTGAATAATTCAGTGCTGAATTCAGAACTCATGCAATGGGCCTCTACAGCTGCTGGAAAGATTAAGTGCAATGAAGTTTTCTGCCCCAGCTTTATCGCAGCCATTCCTGTGAGCTGGAGGGCAAAGAATCTCTGCTTAAAACAGAACAAGGCTCAGCTGAAAACTCTGTTTTCCTTGAGCAAAGGCTTCTGAGGAAGACATGCCTCAAGGGTTAAACCCACACTGAGCTAGCCAGGAGCTCGGTATTGTGTGTGGAGACTGCAAAAAAGCAAATTTGAAACCTTTAGAAGAAGAATTTGGACTGAAGGGTGGGACACACATCAAACACTGCACACAGGCAGGGCTTATGGTGACCATAAACACCCAGGTGACACTTGTGGCTTTGTGTGGGTACACGGGGTACAAACTCAGAAAGGAGACAATGAAACTTTCAATATATCCATTTCGGGTTTAGTGTTACACTTATCTACTATGCATAAAATTAACATTCATATAGAACAATAAATTATTAGGATTTTTAATAATTCCAATCATATTTAATACATACTAATTTTATTAATATGTATTAATTCTATTAATAAAATTTGTGTACTTATTTTCTTTACAATAATATTATTTATTATCAATTTATTTTATTAATAGTTAAATATTATTATAAATATTATAATAAGACTAACTTTAGTAAATAAAATATTATAGCTATTATTCAAATTAAAAACTATTAATATGCATATTTCTATACATAACCTTACTAACAATATGTGCTTTGTTTGTTTTGCATACATTAACATCTATAATTGTGTAAAAAAAAAAAGGAGATTTCAGATAATTACTTCTGTCTCTTCCTAGGGTTGGTCACCACACTATAATAGTTTTTATTATTTTATAATTTTTAATAATATATATTCTTATTATAATTGTTATAAATATTCAAATTATCATAATTGATATCATAATATGATAAAGAAATAATATTAAGAGCTAATAATTATTAGAATTAAAAACTATTAATGTGCATATTTCTATACATAACCTTACTAACAATACGTGCTACTTTGTTTGTTTTGCATACATTAACATCTATAATTATGTAAAAAAAGAGGAGATTTCACATAATTGCTTCTGTCTCTTCCTGGGGTTGGTCACCACACTTTCTGAGGCATCAGGCAATGGAAGTTATGAAAATTTTTATAAACTTTATAACTTAATAAAGTTGCAGAAATAGAACAGCTGTATCTATGTGTTTCAGCAGCTCAGCAAAAGATACAAAACACACCTTTGAGCAAGTGATTTTATTTCTTTTGCTTTTACAAATGAACTGCAAAAGCCTGGTAATGACTATTCATGAGAGCAATTATGTACAGAGCTATATTTTTTTGAGATTTATCACAGCTTGTTTAAAAAATACACTTGCATACAATAAACTCATTACTGTGGTAGTAAAAATAAGGCTTTCTGGGTAGGAAAACTAGACAAAGGTGAAAATTTTGATTTAGTATTTACAGTTTTCAATAAGTTTATAACAGCTGCTTCAATAAAAAAAAAAATTACTTTAGTCAGAGTTCCATTACATCCACCCAGCAAGAAAGTAGGCAAGCTTTCAAATCAAAGAATTCTGACAAATGGGACAAGATGAACACAGAACGCTGCACTGAAAGGTTCTGAGAAAGAAAGTATAAATACAAACTAGGGTTGACAAGCACCCAGATGCATTTCACATACATGCAGATACAAACCACTTACATTTACTTCTAAGAGCATTACATGAAGTATTTTTCTTTTCAAAAAAAAGTTGCTTTGAATTGTTAATTTTATAACTTAGCAATCCTCAACGGAGTTAATCAATCTTGTTTTCCCATTGAGATGTTACTTTGAAAACACATGCTGAACAGTTCAACTATTGTACAGATTTAATTTCCTCATAAAATTATTCATAGATTTAAACATATTTAGTACATAGATTTCGAAATCTTGCTTAAACATTTCACCAAACTCCCTGAGCCTGCCCCTGGTTCAGACATCACATCACTGCAAAGCCAAAAGGCAGGAAATGGCAAATTGTACAATTCTCCTTCCTGCAGGTAAAGAGGAAAACAGCAGCAACATTTCATACAGCTGTTTAATATTTTTCCCCCCTAGAATCACTGCAAATGCCTGTAACTTGTGCTGCTGGTTCGTTGTTATGTAATAACTGGGAAAGTAAAATTTGAGACAGGGACATCCACTACAAAAATTTGTCTGTTTTACATATAAAACGTATTTCACGCTGAAAAAAAGAACAGAGGTCAAGACAATAAGGGTGAGAAGTTCTCCAAGCTGCTTAAATAACCTCACATAACACTGAGCAAAACCTCCTTCCATGATGGGAGACACCACAAATCCCAGCTGCTGACACCCAAAAAAGTCAGTCCAAAACAATCAGAGGCACACACACCGCCACTGCAACACAACTTGGCACTGTGGTGCGCCCCAACTGCTGCTAAAATTGAAGCAGATTAAGAGATCAAGACAAAAAAATGGTTTCACCTGCAGCTGATAAAAGATTTTGGCTGCCAGAGATTAAAATCCATCAAAGTATCCATCTGAAACAGCCTTTTTATTTTGTTGTTCTTTGCCAATATAGCTTGCTTTTAATTTCTAACACAAGAAAGAGTTTTTATTTTGACATAATAAACTTCTGACAATAGAAGAGCACAACTGAGGTCTGGTTCATTCTGTCTTGTCCCTTGGAAGGAAAAGGAGAAAAGACCAGGAGCACTCCAAGAACTCTCTCAGACCAAAATCAACTTTTTAAATGCCTTTACCTAATAACTACCATGCTTAGCTGAAGAATGATCCTTAGATGTGCCATGTCCTTGTCCCTGTGCAAGGGACACTGAGATTTAAGACATTTCTGGGCCTCCCACATCTCACAGCCATGCAATTTTCTATCTTTTCTTTGTTCTAAAGCAAAGATATCCTGAATTACACTCTTGGATGTTGGGGTTGTGAACTACATGGCCTCTGTACACAATAAGGTGCAGCCTGGAGAAGGTGCTCTGCCTTTGGATAATTTGAAGATCAACCAGTTTTATTAACCTTTTATTACATTCCAAGATATACTTTGAATGAGCACAAAGAGAGGGAAAAAAATTCCCATCGTATTCAAGGTCAGAGTTTGTCTGTAATTTCACCATATTCTATATACACAATAATAAGCAGGGCTAATAAAGAATGTTTACCTCCAGATTCACATCCTAATTTTATCACTGTGGATGAAGCAACCAGCTTCAGATACCCTCAACTCCATTTTCACCAAGATGGATGAGAAAAGAGAGGCAGAACAGGCAGGAGCTGTTTGAAGGTATGTCTGTGTTCACTAGAAGCCAACATGCCTTCACCAGCCTGCCTGAAGACTCAAAAAAATACCTAGATGGTCACTGTTCTTCCTTAGGATGCACTGATTCATGCATCTCAGGCCTCAATTTAAAATTTTAGTTAGTTTACTACTTCTAGAATAGTCTTCCTTTAGTTTAACTTGGGGACAGAACCCATAAAGTTCACAAAGTTCTAGTTAAAAAGTCTTTTTAAAATTTTCTTTCTTTACATGTTCAATAAAAATAAAAAAGTTATAAAAAAGGAAAATATTCTAAAAGTGTTATTCTAATTCATATTACTCTTTAATTGTTGTTAATAATTTTTTCTTTGTACCCTTTTAAAATTGTAAACCTACTTGACCTTTCTCCTAATCCTTCCTCACAACAAAAAGTAAGTACACTAATAATTAGTCAACACTAAACCCACCACACTTCTTGATATAATTAGCCAAAAAAACCTCAAATTAAAAAAAATCTCAAATTAACAAACCCAAACAAATACAATGGGCAATACTGAAAACACTGAATGATGCACAAATTTCTTCTTTTCTTCATATCTGCTTTTATTCTTCACAAATAACTAGAATTGGAATGAAAGGCTTTCCCCTTTTCTAACTCTGGTAATTAAATGCAATTCTTTCTCTCAAGAAAGGAACTGTTTCCAAAGCTGACCATGCCCGAGTGACACAGAGCACCTCAGTGGGAGAGTTCGCAGCCCAGCTCTCATTATACAGATATATCCTCAAAAATACATCTGTCATTACGCACACACATCCTCAAAAATATATCTGTCATTACACACACATATCCTCAAAAATACATCTGTCATTAGCCTCAAAAATAAAGGCTCAGTGTAGCCTCAAAAATAAAGGCTGGATGGCTGGATCTGCACTTCACAACTCCTCAGCACCATGGAAGGCTTCATTCCTGTCCAAGAATGACATAATTCAGGATTTAATAG